GACTTAAATCACCATAAAGTTTAAAGCTTTTAAGAACCCGTGAGGGAAGAAATGACATACTCGCTGGTGATGAAGCTGATGAATTCAGAAACACATTCCTGAACAATCTCTTTAGCATCTTTAGCGATTTTACCATTAGGAGGAAGACCTCTTTTCATGATTCGGCTTATGTTAGCAATCGGAAGAAACCTATCTTGCTCACGAACGTGCAAAGACCTTGGGCTTTGATCTCCACCACTCTCATGGCTTCCTGGACTCTTAGCCGCCTGTGACTCCGCCATCTCAGAGAAACCCTAGACGAATTTTACAAAAACCCATCAACAAAAACAAACAAATCGAAGATTGAAACCATAGATCGGAGAAGATGATGATTACCAGAGGAATTCGAAAAAGGGCGGGAGTGAATGAGAGAGGAGGTTGATGATTGGAGGATGAAGAAGCGAGGGAGATGGACAAGGGAGAGAGATTGATCGGACGCTGGAGAAAATAAGAGAGAGGAGAACGTCTGCGATTGAGAGAGGTTAGGTTTTTACTTTTCTGACTTTTTATCACCACCGTTCGTTTTAATTTATTTATTTTATATATCTCTCTGGTTGATATTATACCAAATACAGCCATGCCACGTGTTGTTCTTATCTTTACCATTTCGAGGAACTTTTTTGTTTTTGCCCCAATTAAGGACTTTTACTATTCAGTCCACAATATTTAGTAATTAATCTGTATTTTTCTTATAACATATGTAAATTTTTTTTAGTCAAATTAATTATAGAAATGTTAAAATTTAATAAGATAAGAAGGAAATATGTTTTTTGCACTATTTTTGCTTAAATTTTGAGTCTTTATGGTTAACTTTAAATTCTTATAGAACAGATCAGATATCAGACCAAATATTATATTTTAACGGATATTCGAACACTAGATTTTGGTTACTCGCAAAACATATATAGATAAAAAAAAAATGATAATGATAATTCAAATAGAACAAAACGATTCACAAATACTAAAAAAAATTCCAAAACATCGGTTATACTCTTATCTTACGTAATATTGTATAACATAACTTTAGAGAAAAAGTAATACGAGAGCATTATGAGAAATTACATCTCTGAGAGAGTGTAACAAGATTAAAAAAAGCTTCGAATGGTTGTGATTGATGCAAGTGTCTCTGAAAAACATAATATCTCACAACCCCCAAATAAATCACCAAGTTTAAGTCACAAAAAACACAAAACCCAGCTCGGAGCAGTTTCTTGAAAGCTCGAGTCCAAAAAGAGGAAGTGTTAATTAAGCTG